TGAGTGCCAAGGGCCAGTGCTAAGGACATCCTGAGGTCTGGACAGGTAGACAGAAGAGGGGTCAGGAAATGAGACACAGAAAGTTGTCTGAGTCAAGAGGAGAACTGGGCTTTGCATTGTTACAGATGATGAAGAGACAATTTTCAGGTTGCCAAAAAAGGCCAAAAACAATGTCCAAGAAATAACTTTTGATTTGGCTTAAAGGTCATTGGTGAACACAGAGAGAATAGTTTCAATGAAGTGGATAGAGACAGTAAGATTGCAGCAGTTAAGAAGATAAATAATGAAGAGATTACCTGGCCGGGCGTGGCTCAGTGGTTGAGCATCAGCCTAGGATCCAGGAGATCATGGTTCGATTCCCGGTCAGGGCACATGCCTGGGTTGCGGGCTCGATCCCGAGTCAGGTACGTGCAGGAGGCAGGTGATCAATGATTCTCATCATTGATGTTTCTCTCTCTTTCTCTCTCCTTCTCCCTTCCTCTCTCTGAAATCAATAAAGATATAAAAAAGTAAAATAAAATAATGAGATTAAAGGACTCTTTTGGTTGTAGAATATTTAATGATTAACTTACCAAGAATTTATCAAAGCTAAACATCCCCAAATTTTTGAATATTTGTGATTTCGTGACTTGAGGTTTAGTGACACGTTACATGGGTGCGCACACACACACGCACACCCCTTTTCCTGTACTGACCTATATGGGACAGACATTCATTTGAGCCCTTTCCTAGCCCCCGAGTCTCTATCCTGGCCCTTACTTTCCTCCTGCTTATCTATGTGCTTGTCTGCCTGTTACTCTGACTATATTTTATATATTCTTATAAACTGATTTTAACCCTTTCTGGAATAAGGTGTACCTAAATAAATGAGTAAACAAAGAATGCCTTTCCTTTACAGGGTAATGCCATTGGTGCTTTTCACTGCAAGTGCCTTGTGGCAGGTTTCATGGCCAGCCTGAGCACACTGCATCCGAGAGGCCGTCCCAGGAGCAGACTCCTGTCAGCTCAGACCCTGAAATCTGGGCTGGCTCCAGGGTCCCTCTACCTCTCCTTGGTTCCTCTACGAGGCTCCCTTAGGCCCCTTGGAGGACTCCTGTGCCATTTTAATTTCTTTTACAGATGAGACCTGCTAGAATATATACACTCAAAATTGGGTTGTTTCCAACAATTTACACTGCCAATCCAGCATGCCTTTATATGTACTATCTTTATTGGTGCTCCTTTAGTTCTGATCAATGTTTTGTTTTGTTTCTCATTAGGGGAAACCCAAGCCAGAGAAAGGTTTTCTATACTCAAGAAGAAAGAGCCTAAGTCAGATAGGCAGGTTTTTACCTCAGGATTCCAGAGAAATCTGGAATTTGGGATACAGGGATCACATAGGCAGAGGTTGGGCATGATTCCCCAGAATAGGCACTATTACTCGCACCTGTTTCCCTGCATGGTAGATGGATAGGTTTGCAAGCAGAGAGTGGGTGGATCTAAGTTTTGTAAATATATACAATTTTTGGGATCCCTTAAAAAATAATCCAAAATTAAGAATAGAGAATTAGAAAGCTCATATAGTGAGAGGCCCTGAAGCTGAAGTCTCATTAGTTTTACTTTCATTTCAGTTATAGATTATAGTTGTATTTTCTGGAACAACATAGCATTTTTCAAATAAATTTCTATTTCCCAACAGAATTCCTAAACTTATGAAGAAATTTAATGGGCGACAAAGGAGGCATTACAAATTGATTGGGATGGAAGGATTAGCCAATAAATGGTGCTGGTTAACCTGCTTAGGAATTCTCTGGATAAACAAAAGCTGAGCATTGAGCATTAACAGAAAAAACATCCATTCTTAGCTTCGTTCTTTTAGAAATTAGGACTGCTTTATTGCAAGGAACTGAAATTGGTAGTTATAACATTTGCTCCCAGATAGGGAATTAAAGCAGAATGAAATGCAAGTCTTGATGGAGTGCTCTACTGTTGATTTAAATCATGTAGCCATCACTGTGGTTTTCAGAATCAAGGCCCATCAGCAGCGGACAGGTAGAGCTAAGGAGAGTGGGGGTTTTGAGGTGAGGCAACCACTTAGGGAAGGAAGATGAGCTAGGAAGATCCCACCTGTAGATATCTAGCAGAAAGAGGTTAACCTCAAATAAGTCCTGCTAGTAGGGGTCCTGGGATAGGCAGGTCAGTCTGCAACTGACAATTGGTAAGACTGAGAAAGGCAGAAAGGTGAGCCTCAGCGAGACCCAGCAGGGACCTGGTGGTTGAACCACAGCATAGTATCAAGGGAGTAAATGGATAGATGAATGAATGACATAAGAGACAGAAAACCAGACATAGAGGACAGGCACATGGACATAGGAGCCAGGTTACCCAGGTCCAGCTCTTGGTTCCACTGCTTACTAGGTAGGTAAAACTTGAGCAAGTTACTTAATCTCATAATGCCTCAGTTTCCTCAGCTGTCAAATAGAGATAATAATACAACCTATCACTTAGGGCTGTTGTGAATTTTAATTTATCTTATTCATGTAAAGTACCTAGACCAATGCAGAGCATATAATAAGCATTCAATGAATATTAGCTGTTCATATTCAATATATTATTATTATGTATTATTATTCGTCTTGTAAATTCAACTTGGGAAATGTTGAAAGACAAACTGGTTATCAGTAGGGGCAGAAAATGAAAAGTGTCATGAAATGAGGTTGGGTCGTGGTAAACCAATGTTGAGTGCAAGCCAAAGTCGTGATAGGACAGAAACTGCAAGCAGGGCAGCCTGTTGGTAGAGAGAGTGAGAAGACATACAGAGAGACACCGAGGGCAGGAGCGGGAGATCCCGGGGCCTTGGTCCATAATGTACGCCATGTCTGGTCATTGTCTCAGCACAATAAACGTATTTTCTTGAGGGCCTCCTTGCAATCAAGAGCATAACTAAAACAGACCCTGCAGACTGGATGAGACATGATGCTTTAACTCAAAGAATTCTCTATCAGTCTTTGCAAACTAGCAATTCCAAAGCAGAAATGCATGCTCATGGTAGTTTCAAAGTATATTATGGTCACCAGCTGAGCCTGCCTTTAACCTGTTTGGAGAAGTGACAGAATGGTGTAGTCCAGGAAGGCTTCCTGGATAAGGTGATGCCAGTGCTGCATCATAAACCATTGGTAGGAAGGTGTGTGGAAGGAGCCAGGAGAATTTAGACGGAAGGGCAGTGAAACAAGAAGGCCCAGGGCCAGAAACAGCCCGGTGCGCACTTGGAAGGGCAGGCCAGCCTCCTGGGCTGCTAAGGGTGGGGAGGGCAGCCGGGGCCCATGCCCAGAATGGATTTGGGGAGTGGGCGGGGCTTCATTCAACAAGTATTTATGGAACATTCCCCATGATCCAGGCTCCACTGAGGAAGCAGGCAGAGAGCCTGGGTAGGAGCAGCAAGGTTCCCACCCTCCGGAAGCTTGTGCTGCAGTGGGGAAAGCAAGCGCCATCCAGCTAACAGGAAAATATCACCTTTTAAATGGAAATGAGAACTATGAAGTAAAAGGAAGCAGAATAAGGGGACAGGGAATGACGTGGGAAGGTGGGCGAGGCTACCAAAGGAGATGGCATTTGAGCAGAGACCTGAGTAAAGAGAGGAGGGGCTTGTTGGGAGCGTCTCAAAGTAGATGCAGGAGAGAGAGGACCTCGGCCTGCACTGGGTGGAGCTGGTTGAGATGAAGGCAGGGAAACAGTTCCTTAACATTTCTGAGATAAGGAGTGAGGCCTCAGGGACTGCACAGATGCAGAGCACAGGAGAAAGGGAGGGAGGGAGATGGGCTTGGAGATTTCTAGCTTAGGCAGCAAGGAAGACAGCGGTGCTGCAAACTGGCACCGAAGGCCAGGGAAAGCGGGTTGGGAGGAAAGGCAACGAGTTGTCTTCTAGAACAACATGAACGTAGTGTTGTCTCGTGGATGGCAGTGTCCCTGGCAGGGGACCCTGGGGCTGCAGACATGGACTTGGAGGGCGTGGCACATGGGTGGTCAATGAAGCCATCAGTGTCACTGAGATTGCCTGTTAGTCAACCAACAAGTATTTAGTGAGCACTTACCAAGGGCCAGGGTGTGTGACAAGTCCTGAAGGAGCTTTCTGTTTAATGGGGGCATGAAAAAAATCTCTACACAAGTAAAAGGATTCCAAGTACTGGTGAGGGGGTGTAAAGAAGTAAAAATTAGGCCATGGACTGAACAGTATTGGAGGGGAGAGGCAGGGGCTGCTTTAGCTACGGCTCTGAGAAGTCCTCTGTGAGGACGTGGTGCTTGAATTGGAAACTGAGGAAAAGGACACTCCCCTGTGAGAATCTGCAGAAAGACTCTTGGAAGCAAAAGCAGTTATAAGCCTTTAGGCCCTGAGAGGGGAGTGGACTTGGTGTGTCTCCAGGACAGGTGAAAGGTCAGAGTGCCCTGGACAGAGTGAGTGAGGCCGGCCGGATGGAGGGAGGTGACGGGCTGGGGGGGGGAGGGCAGGTTGGGTCTCATGTAGAGTGAGCAGGTCCGAAGGCTGAGGAAAGATGCCTGAGGACCAAAGGGAATGTGGTGTCGCAGCATTGGGAGAGGGTCAGCCAGTGAGGAGCAAGTGATGCGTCCTCCAGGAGCAATGAGCCTTCATAACAGAATGGCTCCATTCAGCTCCACCCACAGCCCACTCGTAGGCTAAAGGCCCCAGAAGCAGCCATTTGTCCTGCCCCGTTTTCTTTAGTTTCCTCTTGCAACATAAGAGCTTTAGTTTTATGTGGTGACATGTACATCATGGTGGAATTAGTAAACACAGCGCTGTGTGAAGAGAGCTGCAAAAAATATTTCAGCGCCATGTGCAGTCACTGTGCAGGCCTAAGCTCAAAATAATGTTCCTGTCTACTTGTTCCAAGGTTACTTTCCATCTAGTCCACGCCTCTGTGGGGGGAGCGTTGTCTTTAGAAGTGTATGGATTTGCCGAGCCACCGCGATGGGCTGGACTGTAAACTGACTCTCTTCATCCACAGGCACAACGCTCCGCTTGGACGTCTGGGACGGATGGAAGGAATTTCTGATGGGTTGTCTCCTCGGACAAAAACTTAAAGTCCAACGCTATTTATCAAACGAAAAACTGGTACTTAAGTACGGAGATATAGCATCTGCTAAATTAATTTAAGTACTTTTTTAAGTAACCCTAAACTCCCGTAGGACCTTGAGGCTGCAGTTCACCGCCCAGCTGATGCTCTGCTCCATGCTAGTTCCACTTAGCGTCACAGCCAGACCCCATTATTGAGATATTTGTGGAATAAGACAGCAAGGATGCCAGCAGGGCTGATGGCCTTTGCAGAAGGGTTGCAATTTGGGTAGATATTCTTCAGGAAATACCATTTAAATGGGTGACCAGTTTGGTTTGGGTACCAGACTTTTAACGCCTCTTTTCAAAGCCATTAGAATAAGTATCTCGTCACTCATATTCAATTATTCTTTAAAAAAACAACAGTATTTGCTAATTGACTGGCTGCCTCTTCCTAAACTCCCATGTAATTTTTCAAACCGCATTTACTACAGTATTCATACTTTTGCAGTACATGAAGTGGAACACCTGTGGCTGGGGCTGTGGAGGTGGGTGGGCTCAGAGAAGGGAGTGAACATTTTAATGTATCTCTGCAGCTTCCCAAATGCTACATTACCCTTTTGTTTTCAATTCAGTGGGACTGCGGTATTTCAGAACAGCGCCCCCTCGTGGGTAGCTTAATTATGCTTTACACAGGCCCACAAACCCACAGGGAGAGCTCCAAGGGCTCTGTGAAGTGACAGGTTGGAAAGCCACCATTTGCAATTTTACAAAATAGTGAAGTATTTTAAATTAACTCCTATTTGGGGACAGTAATAATTCCTTTTTTTTTTCATGTTCTAAATCCAAAGAAATAGCTGTGCTATGTTGTTACTTTTAATAGTGCATATTTATTGAGTGCTTTGTAGCAGACACTGTGTTAAATTTATTACCTAGCTTGATACTTAACAATTTTTATGAGGTAGATACTATTTTATCTTGTTTTATAAGTGAGGAGACTGATATTAGGAAATCTGCCCATTGTCACACAGCAAGCAAAGGCACAGCTGGGTGTTGGATCCTGACTATTTAAATCTAGTGCTCATGTGCTTAACCATCTCCACTTGACTTAATATTTAAATAAAATCTAAGATCTCAGTGACTATGGATGATCACACTGAAAAGCTCCTTTTAGTCTTCTACCCAATATTTGTTAAATATCTATTGAGCATTTGCAATGTATTACAAGATCCTAGAAATGTAGCAACAAACAAGATATAGCCCATGCTCTGGGCAAGCTCACAGTCCAGTAGGGGAAACAGAAAACCGTAACCAATTCCTGAAGATGCAGAATTGCAAATGTTTGGAAGTACAAACTTCAGTGCCCGTCTGCTGGGTTCAAAGCCCCTCTCCCTCAGTGTTTAGTTGTGGAAACTTGGGCAAATTATAAAGTCATCCTGTACCTCAGTGTCCTCTTGCATAAAATGGGTGTGATCATAGTATCTATCTCATAGAACTGTTTTAGAAATTAAATGACCTTGTGATCATAAGGAATTAGAGTTGTGTGGCACATGGCAACAGGATATAAATGTTGGTTATCATTCAGTGTAAAAAGTGTTGACATGGGCACCGTGCAGGATGAAAGAGAACTGAAACTGAGACCTGAAGAGTTGGTACTCAGGTAAATGATAGGGAGGAAAAAAAACATATTCCAAAGCAGATGGGACCACACATGCAAAGACCAGGACAAGAGAATAGATGTTCAAGGAACTGAAAGAAGGCTTAGGACAGAGAGGACAGACTGTGGAAAGATACCTTTAGGAGGCAGGATCAACCAGCCTCAGCGACAGGAGCGCCCCTGGTTCCCACAGCACGGGCACTGAGGATGAAAGCGAAGGCCAGTATCTACCCAGGAGAGGCTCTTCTCCCCAAATCAAGAAAACTGATCAAGTTCAGAGATCCTGATTTGCACGAATGAATTTCAAAAGAGATTGATGTGTGAGCCATCAGTGCATTAGCATGTAACTAATTAGATATAATCTGCCAGAGGGTTCTAGAGACCTGTATGTTCTGGGCAAGCCATCTACCTCACACAGGGAAATTACATGGGAAGCCACATACACATCAAAAGATGGTACGCAGTCAGACAGGAGAGTTAGTTATACGCAGGATATTGTGGATCACATCAGGCTGGCTTGCCTCCATCTCTATAATGGAGTCAGATAGCCCTGCCCAAGTGTATCCTGGACAATACCCGGTGGGGCCCTGTCTAGGTTCCCTTCCCTAATTCTTCTTTCTCTGAGCAGCCCTCCCCCATCATTCAACTTATGCCCTATGGGGTGTTGGAAGGATAGTAAAAAGGCCAGCATGGCTCCAGTACAGTGAAATAGAAGGGGACTGGTGGGAAGTGGGGCAGGAGAGGAGGCAGGGGCCGGATGATGAGGGGCCTTATCGGCCAAGGTGGGGAGTTCGAATTTCATTTGCAGTGGGAAGCTATTGCAGGGTTGGAACAGAGGACAGGCAACCTCCAACTCAAGGAATAAAAAGGTCCTTGAGTCCTGTGTGAGGCAAAGCCCAGAGAGGGATAAAGGACGGTGGGAGAGCAGTTCGGAGACTGCGGCACTGGAGTGGTGCTGGCAGGGGGCCACCTAGTGGTGCCGATCCCATAGCAGTAGAGACTTCGAGAAGCCAGAAAATCAAGACCGTTAGAAATGACAAAAGCAAGCATACACAACTCGTGCTGAATTTCTTCCAACACCTTCCCGGTTGGTATAAAGCTTGGTATTTTTCCTGAGCATTTAATTTTCGTAAGAAAGAAAACCGCCCCAAGGAAATCAGTTTGAATTATTTCGTGTGCATAGCAGGATATGTGTATAAGCAGGACCTCTGCAGGTTACTGCAGGTTACTGTTTGCCTTTTCTGAAAACATTTTGGGTAAAAGGAAGAAGCAAACATTTTAACTAGAATGTTTCATGAGTAACTATATTTATCTACTAATAAATACTTGTTTAACTCCTTCAGGTATCAGAAGAGGGTGGCCCTATACATCGCCGCCTTTTATGGCTACATTGAGCTCACCGAGTGGGCCCTGAAGCAGGGTGCGCAGCCCAACCAGGCAGTCGGCGCCCACCCCTACAGAGCGTGGTGCCAGGAAGCCCTGCATGCAGATGTCTCTAAGTGTCCCGTTCATGCAGCTGCAGAGGCGGGCCAGCTGTTAATTCTGAAGGCCTTTGTCAACTCCAGTGTGCTGTGCCTGGAATGCAGAGATGCTGCGGGACAAACTCCGCTGGCCATTGCCTTCAAGCACAAGCATAAAGACTGCGGGTTATATTTACTTAGTAAAATGTGGTCCACAGTTTCCTTTCTGAAGATTTCAGTCCCCATGAGGATCTACATTAAAATAAAACAGTGGGTCCTCAGAGCTCAGAGTCGCAACCTTTACAACACCCGGCTTTGTGGAGCCAGGGTCTCTGGGGCCAAAGTGGGAGACACTGTGATGGTGGATGGTTTCACCAAACCCAAAATGACCTCCAAGAGCTGGCATAAGGCTGAGAACAAGGACTGCCAGAGCACGGTGGGCAAGCTGCCGCCTCTCAAGGAACAAACTGCAAGCAAGAAACCCATCAATCCTTTGGCAATTCCCCAGCAGGACACAAGAGAACAAACCCTCAGATTTCCTCAACTGGCAGATACAAATACATTCTCTGAATTACAAAGACGTCAACAACAAAATCGGAAAAATATGATTGCCACATCTAGAAAAAAAGAAAAGTTCATAAAAAATGCCTATCTTCCCCAGGTCCCCCTCCCTCCGGTTTCAAGAGTGGGCTATTCACACCCATCTTTTTACTATGCAGCACCCAGAGCTGACTTCCTACTCAGCTCCTCCTTCACATCGTTTTCTGAGCACAGTGGGAGAACTCCGAGGGAAAACGCCATCCACTGCTTAGCTGTGGCCAGGTAATGTTTCCTCCTTAAATATACGAGGCAAACCTTGAATAGGGCAGGGCTAGGGGCAGGGAATGGTCCACGAAGCCTTACCAGGCCATATAGTGTAACACAGGATGCTCCAGCTTCGGGACCTCATCTTAGCCTCGTGTTCAGGACAAAACAAACTGATTTTATTGGCCAGTCCAATCTGTAGTGCTTTACTCCTCAAGTGTTCAGGAGGAGAAGAGACACAGTTAAAAGAGTTGTATCAATTGACAAGGTCCCTTGCTTCTTTTAAAAAACAACAAAAATAAAAACTAATAAGCCCTGGCCAGGTGGCTCGTTTGGTTGGAGCACCCTCCCATACACAGAAAGGTGGTGGGCTTGATTCCCGGTCAGGGCACATACCAGGTTGCAGGTTCCATCCCCAGTCGGGGCATATGCCGGAGGCAGCTGATCAATGTTTCTCTCTCACATCAATGTTTCTCTCTCTTGCAAATCAATTTAAAAAACTAATAAGAAATTGTTCATTATAATTAAAGGGAGAAAGGGAAACTGAAATGTGGGAAAGAAACATGAAAAGTCTCTTGGAAGACTGCATGGTAATGAAAGTGGAAGAAAACAGTAAAACAATTTAATGACCAACTAAACCACAAAGATTTCAGTTGACTTACTAGGCAAGATGTATAGGTGGGGGAAGATCTATATTGGATAGGAAGGTAGCATTGGCATTAGTGTTTAAGGTAAGTTTTAAAAACTAATGCATTATCACATTTAAAGACTTAAACAAATGTCTTTGAAGTGGAGTGGATTTTTCAAGCACATCCATTTCAGAAGATAAAATTTTATATATTGGTCATAAGATTTCCCAGAAAACACAACTCTGATAAAATCTCAGGTCCCATCCATTACTTATTACAGCAGAAATATAGATTTGTGAGTGGCTTTTTCCCTACTAATTTATGGGAAAGAAAGAAAAAATAAGGCTAAATTGTTTTAGTTGCCCTTCTATATTGGTCATTATTTCAGGTCTATTTTATTATAGTTTGGTTATTGCCACCTAGTGGTGAGAGCAATATGGTCTATAATGGGCACGATTCAGGACGATGAAGTTGACAGCACAGTAAAGGAAGAAACTGCTTAATAACGTCAATCCTTGTAATTTGTGAGGTATCTCTGACTATAATGTAGAAAAAGAGATCATCTAAAATTCTAGACAAGACTAGAAAATTTTTAATTGGAAAAAATTATATAGCCCATCTTAAAATCAGGCTGCAACATAAAAAAGGAAATACTGGTTAGTTTTATCAACAGATGCATGTTAAAAATGAGCTTACTGTTCAAGCATCCAGTAAGTGCTTATTATGGTCCAGAGCAGTGCTAAGCAGGATGGGAGTGTGAAAACCCACCTGTGTTTAAGGTGGGCATGGGTGTGGCCTGGGGAGAGAGAGGCTGCCAGTGTCTGTTGTGTGTAGTGTTTTCTCGGGGAGGAAATGGGTTGTGAAATATATAGCAAAATGTATAAGGAGCGATAATCCCACATATGTGGCTCATTTTGCATACATCCATGTAAGCACCACTCGATCAGAAGCAAAATATTTCCAGCACCCCAAAAAGTTCTCTCTTGCCCTTTGCCAGTCAATAACCCCTCCCAGATAAGACCATTATCCTGATCTCTATTGATGAGATTAGTTTTGCCTGTTCTTGAATTTCATATAAAGGACATCATGTGATATCTACCTTCTATGTGTGGCTTGTCTGCTCAACATGTTGCCTATGGGATTCATCCATGTTTTTGCATGTGTGATTCTTTTTCTTTCTTTTTTAAATATGTCTTCATTGATTTCAGAGAGAGGAAGGGAGAGAGAGAGAGAGAGAAACATCAATGATGAGAGAATCATTGATGGGCTGTCTCCTGCAGGCCCCCTGCTGGGGATAGATAGAGCCCGAAACCTGGGCATGTGTCCTGACCAGGCATGAAACTTCCATCTCCTGGGTCATGGGTCAATGCTCAATCGCTGAGCCATGCTGGGCAGACATGATTCTTTTTATTTCTATGTAGTATTCCTTTTCTGTGTAGTAATCCATACCTTTATTTATCTGTTCTCCTATTGATGGGCATTTGGATTGTTTCTAATTTGGGGCTATTTTGAATAAAACTGTATAGTTATTTGTGTATATGAGCTTTGGTAGACATTTGCATTCCTTTCACTTGACCTAGGAATGCAATTGCTAGGTTACAGGGTAAGTTTAAGTTTAGTAAACACCTCCTAACAGTTTTCAAAAGAGGTTGTACTAGCATGCTGTTTTTGTAGGTATATCAAAATTGGAATCATAAAGGGGAAAGCAATTTCAAGTTTGAGAAGGGAATTTCTGGGGAAAACATTGCCTTAAAGAAAGAGGCTATTGCAGAAGGGAGGCACAGAAGGAGCGGTAGTCAGTCTGGTTCTGTACAGTACTTCCTCTGGAAGAATTACTCCTAGCAAATCTTTCCAACTTTACTGTTTCTCTTTTCCCAATAATTTTCTCTTTTCCCTATTTGCGCTCTCTACTTCCCTCTCCTCTGTTTTGTCATCTTTCCACTGCATCTTCCCCTGGGTCTGTCCCACGTCCCTCTATTGGTGGGCTGTGGAGGGGAAGGGGGCATCTCTAGTCTTCATGCCCTTGCGCAGCTCTTTTTGCTCTGGTTTATGCCCTTCATCGGAGTCATTGGAGCACCTATGTCTACCTGAAACTGTCAGTCAAGCCAGGGAACTCTGATGCTGAAAAGAAACACTGAGATTCAGTTAGGTGGTTGGGTTGATGACCCAATTAGTGATTATTAACAATTATTCATTCAACAAACATTTATTGAGCTGGTGATATAATAGTAGAGTGATTTTCCTAATCTTAGCACTGAAAGTCCTGCTTCCTGAGAAATGCCTCAGTTCTTGGCAAAGCAGGACAGTTGTTCACCCTACACAATCGAGAGCAAACAGTACAGCGTTGCGCTTGTGAAGAAAATTGCTTAGTAGGGTGTGATGGGCATTATCACACAAGCTGAGGGAAGTGCTGTGAAGGAGGGGAACTTGGAGATAGAGGTTCTAGGGAAGTCTGACATGGCCCTTGACCTCCCTAAGAAAATGTCTGAGCTGAATTTTGATGGATGAGTAGGGGTTAAGCAGTTGAAGGAAGAGTGGAGAGAGAGTGCTGGGGTAGAAGAAATGGCTTGTGCAAAAGCCTTGTGGTTGGAGCTGCCATTTGTGAAATAGGAAGATGTGCTAGAGCAAAGAGAGAGAAGAGAGGTATGAGACAGACATGGAGAGGCAGGTTAGGGTCCCTATGAAAGACTGGGCAGGTTTAGCCTAAAAGCAATGAGGGAACATTGAAAAATTTGACCTGATTAGCTTCACATTTTTTGAAGACCACTTTGGTGGTATGGACATTTTAATGATGTCAGTTCTTCCTATCCATGAACATAGTATATGCTTCCACTTATTTGTATCTTCTTCAATTTCTTTCTTCAGGGTATTGTAATTTTTCAAGTACAGGACTTTTATATCCTTGGTTAAATTTATTCCTAGGTGTTTTTTAATGCAACTGTAAATGGGACTGTTTTCTTAGTTTACCTTTCTGATAGATCATTATTGGTGTATAAAAATGCAACTGATTTCTGGATATTTATTTTGTATACTTTACTGAATTCCTTTATCAGTTCTAGTAGTTTTTTTTGGTGAAATCTTTAGGGTTCTCTATATACAGTGTCATGTCATCTGCAAATAATGGCAATTTTATTTCACCTTCTTCTTGTCTGATGGCTGTGGCTAGGACTTCCAGTACTATGTTGAATAAGAGTGGTGAGAGTGAACATTCCTGTTTTGTTCCTGATCTTAATAAAGATGCTTTTAGTTTTTGCGCAATGAGTATGATGTTGGCTGTAGGTCTGTTATATATGGCCTCCATTATGTTGAGGTATGGTCCCTCTATTCCCACTTTGCTAAGAGTTTTTATCATAAATGGGTGCTAGATTTTATCAAATGCTTTTTCTGCATCTATTGATATGATCATGTGATTTTTATCCTTCAATTTGCTTATGCGATGTATTACATTTATTGATTTGCTGATATTGTACCAACCCTGAATCCAGAAATAAGTACCACGGGATTGTGGTGTACAATCTTTTTACTATATTGTTGGATCCAGTTTGCTAATATTTGGTTGACTATTTTAGCATCTATATTTATCATGGATATTGGCCTATAATTTTCTTTCTTTGTAGTGTCTTTATCTGGTTTTGGAATTAGGATAATGCTGGCCTTGCAAAATGAGCTTGGGAGTCTTCTCTCCTCTTGAATTTTTTGGAATAGTGTGAGGAGAATAGGTGTTAGTTCTTTGAATGTTTGGAAAATTCACCTGTGAAGCCTTCCAGTCCAGGACATTTGTTTTGTGATTACTGCTTCAATTTCATTATTTGTAATCTGTATATTCAGACTTTTTTCTTCTTCCTGATTCAGTCTTGGAAGGTTATATATGTTTCAAGGAATTTATCCATTTAGTTCAGATTGTCCAATTTGTTGGCATGTAGTTGTTCCTAATGTTTTCTTACAATCCTTTGTATTTCTTTGGTGTCAGTTGTTACTTCTCTTCTTTCATTTCTGATTTTATTTGGATCATCTCTTTTCTTGATGAGTCTAGTTAAAGGTTTGTCAACCTTATTTATCTTTTCAAAGAGCCAGCTCTTGGTTTCATTAATCTTTTTAATATTTTTTTAGACTTTATTTTATTTCCACTTGATTATTATTTTTTCTTTCTACTCATTTTCAGCTTTGTTTGTTCTTCCTCTAGTTCCTTTAAGTGTAAAGTTAGCTTGTTTAGTTGAGATTTTTTGTTTTTATTTCTTGAGATAGGTCTGTAATGTTTTGAATTTCCCTCTTAGGACTGCTTTTGCTGTGCCCCATAGATTTAGGGTTGTTGTGTCCTCATTTTCATTTGTTTCAAGGTATCTTTTGATTTTTACCTTGATCTCAGTGTTAATCCATTTATTGTTTAGT